AGTTCAAGGTACGCCCCCCCTGGGCGCCAGGAGGAGCGCCTGCTCCCACGGCCGCTGGGACTTGTGGGTCCGCCCTCTGACGTGGTCTCGACGCCAGAGCGGGGAGCGCCTTTCCCTGGGCCAGCCCCTTCGGGCGACAGATGAGGGCCCGGGCTCAGCAGGGGGACGGATTGGGGCTGACGTGGAAGCGCCGTTCACCCGCCGGAGAGCTGACAAGAGACAGGAGAGGCAGACCTCCGGAGCCCAGCTCCCTCGCTGCCGGAGAGGAGACAGGCATAGAGAGGCCGGAGCCGATGGGACATACGGCCCAGCTCCGTGCTGGCTGTAGCGCCGATTACAGCGCCGACTGTCGCGCTGAGAGGGCTTCTGGGCAGGAAGCATTGCTGTGTCTGGGATCCCCCGGAGCAAAGGCCTCACCTCACAGGGCTCTGCGCCTCCCCGGGCCTCCGTGTCCTAATCTGTTTTCCCTGCCGGTGTAATGGGTTCTCTAGCATCACCCCTGGGCAGTTTCTAGAAAAGGATGCCAGCCCCAGGGCAGGTGCATGGCCAGGTCACAGGGCCGAGATGATTGGGGCTTCGGAGACCCTTCTCCAAGTCAGCCCCTTTGGGCAGGAAAGCAGCTTCTTGGTCCTTCGCGTCTGCTGCTCCTGGAGCCTGGGAGCCCTGCTTCCGCCCCTTTAAGGCCATAGGACCAGTGGGGAGGACTCCCCCTTCCTGGGAGGGGCTCCTGGGCAGGTGAAAGCAGGGTTCCCAGCAGCCCCTGGGACATAGGCCATTGTTACCAGCTGTACCTCCCCCTCTGTCCCTTTCCGAGAATCTGGGCTCATGGGGGCTCAAGGGTGGAGACCTGGTTGAACTCCGAGGCTGGAGAGGGTTGGGGCTCTGCCTGGGGTACCCCAGGACTCGGCTGAGGTGCTCAAAGCCCCTGCCTCCTGTTTCCCCACAGTCTGGCTCCCCGGTGGCCACTTTCAAGCAGCACGTGGCCCCCGTGACCTCCGTCGAGTGGCACCCCCAGGACAGCGGGGTCTTCGCAGCCTCGGGTGCAGACAACCAGATCACACAGTGGGACCTGGCCGTGGAGCGGGACCCCGAGGCGGGCGAGGCGGAGACCGACCCCGGGCTGGCGGACCTCCCCCAGCAGCTGCTGTTTGTGCACCAGGGTGAGACCGACCTGAAGGAGCTGCACTGGCACCCGCAGTGCCCCGGGGTCCTGGTCAGCACCGCCCTGTCCGGCTTCACCGTCTTCCGCACCATCAGCGTCTGAGCGGCCTGGGCGCCGACGGTGAGGTTGACTTCCTGGAAGGGACTCGCTCAGATCTGCGGACCGGCCCTCCTCCAAACAAGGACTTCGCTCAGCCTGTTGGCACCAGGACGGATTCTGCTTGACTTGCTGTTCTTTAAAGGGCCGTGGTTTGGTCTGAGGACCCTCCAGCCGCAGGACTTGGTTTGATCCATGGGCTCTGAGACAGCGGTCGCCAGCCTTCCGGACCTTGTGGAGCACCACCGGGAGCACGCTTCCTGGAAGGGACTCGCTCAGATCTGCGGACGGCCCCCCTCCAAACAAGGACTTCGCTCGGCCCGTTGGCACCAGGACGGATTCTGCTTGACTTGCTGTTCTTTAAAGGGCCGTGGTTTGGTCTGAGGACCCTCCAGCCGCAGGACTTGGTTTGATCCATGGGCTCTGAGACAGCGGTCGCCAGCCTTCCGGACCTTGTGGAGCACCACCGGGAGCACCAGCGGTTGGCGACCACGGCTCTCAAACCCCTGGGTTTGGCTCCAGCGGCCCCACCCACCCAGAGACGTGGTGCAGCCCGGTGACTCACCCCCCCCTTCAGGGGACTTCAGGGGACGCTGTCGGCCCATTCGTCTCCTGGCCTGTGTGGCCCCAATTACTAGGGATATTTGTCAGCTGAGGCCCTTGGCTTGACCCTTTGACCTCAGGGAACTCAGTGCTTTGCAATGACTGGACCGAGCTTGAGGGGTGGGTCCCCCCTGGAGGATTAGGTTTTGCCAGGACTCCCCGGGGGGGCTGCGGGGGCTTTCTCCCCTCCTCTGTGCTGAAGGCAGGCACCGTGGAGGGAGGAAAGTCGGGGGGGGGGGTCTCCTAAGAGCCAATAAAGGAAGGACTAGGCCTGGTGTATGAGACTCGTCCTCCTGGCCGCTTCCCTGAGAGGAAACGGGGAGGAGCAGGAAGCTGGCAGCTGCTCCAGCCCTCACCCCGTTGGGTGCAACCCCAGCTGCCTTCCCTACATTGGATTCCATCCGGGTCTCCGGAGGGCATCTCACCTGTGACCCCCAACTTTTTAAGGCTTTATCTCAGAGAACCAGGCCCCCCCCATTTCTCCTTCAGTCACTCTCCTTTATCCTAATCTCACCCCGTTTGTTCCCTCATCCATGTCCCCATCTTCCCGTGTCTCCTGGCCCCCAGGCTCTGTCCCTCCCCCTCCTGTGTCGCTGCCACCTCTCCAGCTTCCTGGGCTGCAGCCCAGCCGCCTGCCTGGCTGTCATCCCGGCTCCCCCTCTGCGGCTCTGAGCTGGCCCCACCCCCGTCCCCCCCTCAGCCAGGCCTCTGATCCGCCTGTGGACACAGAGGTTGGGTGTCCAGCACAAGGCCCCTGGGGCTGAGGACAGACCGCAGCCATCAGCACCCACCGAGGAGCCCCCCGTGGAGGGCATGGGGGTGGGCCGCCCCACCAGGTACGTGCTCCATGCAGAGGTCCCGGGCTGAGGGCACCCCACCTCCTCCCACCCCCTGCTTGCTGGGGCATCTGCTCCAGCATCCCCACCCCAGCCTTGCTGTTCCCCCTCGGAGAGGTCCAGTCTTACCCTCGGTGACGGTCCAGCCCCAGAACAATCGCTCCCTTCAAGTTTGGTGCCTCTGACTGACCCCGTCGGCATTTTGTGCTTTTTCTCACTGACCGCCCCCCCGCCCCCCACATCCTCCATCTCAATGGAGCCTCTTTCTTGCCCCGTCTCTGTGTCTCCCGTTGGTCTCTGCCTTCCATCTCCCCTCTTGCCCTTTCCTAAGACGCGATCTCCATGACTTCCCCAATTGCTCCTCATCTGCCTGTGCTGCTGTTCTCTCTCCCTGGGCCTCTGTCCCCCACCCACCGCCCCACTGTCTGTCTGCTTCCCTCTGAGTCTCTGGGTCCCTGTCACACTCTCTGTCCCTATGCCCGTCCCTCTGGGTCTCTCCACCCCTCCCCGCCCCATCTCGGTTCTCTCTCTTTCTCAGGCTCCCTCTCTTCCTGCTCATCTCCGATCCTGTACCCTTGTCATTGCCCAGGCTCTGCCCCCACACTCCCTCCTGTCAGTCTCTGCCCCCCAGACCCCGCGGGGAGTGAGGGTGGGGGAAATACCGGGCTCTCAGAGAAGAGTGTGCCAGTGTTTCTTTGGGGAGGAAGGCAGGGAGGCTGGGCCTGGGCGGAGCCTCTTGGCCTCAGATTAGGCAGTGACTTTGACCGAAGTTAAGGCACCTTAAGCCCCCTTGTCTCCTTTATATGGAAACGTTAAGCTGCTCTCCTGGGGCAGGTCAGGAGGGGGGCGGGGAGGACTTGAGGCTCTGGAGCCTTTTCCTCCGGCCTGCTCTGCGGGGCAGGGGGTCGCCCTGAGTCCGAGGAGCACCCACCCATGGGAGCTGGGCCATGGGTGCAGGCAGGAGGGGAAGCCCCTGCCCCGTCTGCCTGGGAAACGGACTCGGTCGTGTTGGCCTTGGGCTGAGTGTGGGCCTCGATTTACTTGGGAGGCAGAGTCCTGGGTTGGGAAGGCTCAGAACCCAAACTGCCACCCACCCTCGCACTACCTGGGTCTGGCCGGGTCTCAGCCTGTGGCCCAGAGCAGGGACCCTGACCTCCCAGCTTCCTGAACAGAAGGTGAGCGGTGGGGCCCAGTGGAGCCCAGAGGGTGGGCGGGGACACCCAAGGAGCTCATCCTGCGGCCCAGCACAGGCAGGTGCTCAGACCTGCCTATGATAAGGGCCCGTACCCCGAGGTTCCTGCTCCGGCACCCAAGGGCCCGGGTGGGAGGGACCTGAGCCAAGGGACGGACCCGTGGCTGTTGCCTGAGAAAAGCAAAGTCCCCAGGGTTGCGGGTAGAGACAGGTGCGTGGGCGTGAGGAGGCCCCGGCTGGGGCGGGTGCTGGGGCGGTGGGAGGCCCTGTCATCTGTGGCACTCAGTCCATAGTGGGGACTTCCAGGCAGGGGAGGACGACATGTCTAGGTCAGAACCTGGATCCTGACCTTAAACTGCCTCTTCAGGGACTAGCCTCAGTTTCCCGTTTTTGGCAAACCATCTCTTCACAGCCAGAGTAATGATGGGTGAAAGCGAGTTGGGATACAGCCTGGGTGCGGGACGCAGCCAGGCCCAGGGCACCCACCTGAGCCTCCGCCCTGCCTCTGGAGTGGGTGAAATGAAGCTCAGGTGCAGGGCTGTCCATCCAGGTGGACACGGGCAGCAGGTGCAGAGCTGGAGGCCTGGGGGAAGGAAGGAGAACCCTTTGGTATTGAACTTGACATTGACTGACAGCCCTCTCTAAACTGAGTGCCCCCAGTCCCGCCCGGAAGCCCATCAAGATCCCAGAGCCTGGCACGGGCACATGTGCTTGGTACATACTGATGGAACCGATCTGCCAGATATTTCACCCCTGGTCCATAGAGGTCCCTGCCACCAGCGTGCCAGAGGTTGGAGGGTGATGAGGTCTGCAGGTCCAGCCCCTTCCCCCCTCCTCTCCACACTGCCTAGCTGATGAGATTCTCTCCATTTCACAGATTAGGAAACTGAGGCTCAGGAAGGGATGTGAATCCCCACCAGTCCTCCAGCTAGTAAATGGCAGAGCTGGATTCATTCAAAAGCCCAAGGTCTTTCTTCTGGATCCTTCTTCCTTTCAAGGCGGTGGGTTTTTATCCCCATCCCACTGATGAGTAAATTAAGCCTCCAGGAAAGGAAGTCCGTTGTCTCAGGGCACATAGTGGGTCAGCAACTGAGCCAGGATTGGGCCCTGGGTCTATATGACTGGAAGCCCTTCCTGACCTTGACGAAGAAGTGGTTTCCCCATTTTACAGCTGAGGAAACTGAGGCTCACAAAGACTTGCCCAAGGTCTGAGAGTCGGGGGGAGCCTGGGTTTGTTTGTTTTGTGTGTATGTGTGTTTTTGTAACAGGTTCATTGAAATATAATTCACGTACCATACAACTCACACATTAAAGTGTACAATTCCAGGGTTTTTAGTACATTCACAGTCGTGTAATCATTACCACAATTGATTTTAGAACATTTTAAAAAATATATTTTTATTGATTTAAAAGGAGAGAAATATCAATGATGAGAATCATTGATTGGCTGCCTCCTGCACGCCCCCCCACTGGGGATTGAGCCTGCAACCCGGGCATGTGCCCTGACCAGAATCAAACGGGACCCTTCAATCTGCAGGCCAACGCTCTAGCCACTGAGCCAAACCAGCCAGGGTCAATTTTAGAACATTTTTATCTCCCCAATAAGAAATGCCGTGCCCTAACTGATTTGGCTCAGTGGGTAGAGCGTCAGCCTGCGGACTGAAGGGTCCCAGGTTCGATTCCGGTCAAGGGCATGTGCCTTGGTTGTGGGCACATCCCCAGTAGGGGGTGTGCAGGAGGCAGCTAATCGATGTTTCTCTCCCATCGATGTTTCTAACTCTCTATCCCTCTCCCTCTCTGTAAAAAATCAATAAAATATATATTTTTTAAAAAGATGCTGTGTCCTCTGGCTATTACTGCCCAATCCTTCCATCTCCACAATCCTAGGCGTGACTAGACTACTTTCTCAATTTGCCCATTCTGGACATTTCATGTAAATGCAAGTATAAAATATGTGGTCTTACCCTAACCCAGCGGTTCTCAACCTGTGGGTCGCGACCCCTTTGAGGGTCGAACGACCCTTTCACAGGGGACGCCTAAGACCATCCGAAAACACATATATAATTACATATTGTTTTTGTGACGAATCACTATGCTTTAATTATGTTCAATTTGTAACAATGAAAAGACATCCTGCTTATCAGATATTTACATTGTGATCCATAACAGTAGCAAAATTACAGTGATGAAGTAGCAACGAAAATGATTTTATGGTTGGGGGTCACCACAACATGAGGAACTGTTTTAAAGGGTCGCAGCATTAGGAAGGTTGAGAACCACTGTCCTAACCACTTTGGCTCAGTGGATAGAGTGTCAGTCCTTGGACTGAAGGGTTCCTGGTTCGGTTTTGGTCAAGGGCATGTACCTAGGTTGCAGGCTCAATGCCCAGTAGGGGACGACGTGCAGGAGGCAGCCAATCAATGATTCTCATCATTGATGTTTCCCTCTCTCAAATCAATAAAAAAAATATATATATATGGTCTTTCGTGATTGGCTTTTTTCACTTAACATAATGTTTTCAAGGTTCAACCATGTTGTAGTGTGTGTCTACTTTTATTTCTTTTCACTACTGGGTAGTATGTATTCCGTTGTGTGGAACTGCCACATTTTATTATCCA